AGAGACAGAGAGAGAGAGACAGAGAGAGAGAGACAGAGAGAGAGAGAGAGTTAGTGCTCTTACTGTCAATACTCCACAACAGTCATATTTGCTGAATGAAGGGATGGTTGAAAATTACACAGCGAAGAAACCCTTACGTCACTGAATGGATAGCAAAGCAACAACTACACAGATATTAGCACCAACTCTAGTGAATAGAGGAATTCCGAGTTCAACTTCATCCAGACAAAACAGCATGAAATTCACAGGCTTACATGAAGAGACTTAATCTTATGAATGCAGAACAATTCAATAAGGATCTGAGGAGTAACAATTATACAGCAAAGTCATGTTAAATACTTTATCGTAAGATGATGCAACACAGAGGTTATTCATCACATCAGTCCTACTTTAGGAGCTACCCCATCAGTCTCAAACACCTGCTCTTTCCCAACATCCTTGTAAGATTCGCTCCTTCAAGTATTTAGTAATTGCCTTTACGAAAAGTTATTAATTAATTTGGTTCCACCATTCTTTCAGGCACTGCAATCTAGATCATAATATTGCACTCCGTAGAACAAATAAGTCTCCACATCGTGCCTCTGGTGCTTTTGCAAATTACTTTAAATTTGTGTTTCCAACACAGGCAACTTATTTAGTTAGCAAAACCCTTCATAATGATGAATGCCTCTACTAATTCTCCCATTAGATTTCTCTGTCTAAAGTTGTACTAGGTTCTCTCATTTCTCCTTGCAATTAAAATCCTTCATCCATACTTGCAAGTGTCCTTAAATATGGAGCACAGAAATAGACACAATTTTCCAACAGGGTCTAAGCAGGAATTAAGCTCAACATATCATCGTCACTTTAGTATATCCTCTGCTTATTTTGAGCCATGAGTCCCAAGTGCTTTATCTGCCTCGAAGTGTACTACTACCTTTGAAGATTAGTGTGTACACCCTCAATCTTTCTGTTCTTGCACGTCCTTGTAAAATTATACCATTTGGCATTTCACCACTTTCGTCCTACCAAGATGTGTCACTTCATATCTGTTTAACATTTCGTCTGTCACGTGTCTACACATTTCCCTGATTTGTCTCTACCTCCCCGTCTTCTCTGCCTTTTAGCAATGATGACATTTCAGCAGTACTTCATTAGTTGTAAAGCACTTTGAGACATCAAGTGGTCATGAAAGGCACCATATAAATGCAAGGTTTTCTTTTCTTTGACGTCAGAACCTAAAAATCAAATTTCCTCAGGGTTCTTTGAGGGTGGATATTGATAGGTGATCAATTTCCAGGTCAGTGCTGTTCTTGAGCTGACCACTCCAGTGAGTGATTCTTGGTTCTTGAAAGGGCAAGGGATCTTCTGTAATCAGTGTCTTTCCTCAACCAGAAACCCATCAAGTGGGGAATTTACTTATCTAAACTCTACTTGTTCCGAGTCACTGGACACTGAAGTTCTGCCATGCTACACCAGCGATTTATTGCCTCATTGACAGCCTGCATTACGTTCATAGCTAGTTTTACTCTTTGTCATTATTGCTTGTTGTCATATTCCACCCTTGTCTCCTTCATATGTAGTTTCAAACTAGAACATGACTCCACTGATACTTCGCCCATCTGGACCCATTTATTAAGTGCATGTCTAGACAGTGACTGGTTCTTAGCTATTTGTGCTGAATGTTGGTGGGAGAGCCATATGCAAGACTGACCCCTGTCCTTGCTCCAAATCCTCTCGCAGGTATCACATTGCAGAAGTCCGTGAGAGGCCTTTAGCAGGAGCCTGATTTTTAACTCACTTGCATAAGGGCATCAAAGCAATCAGAGCACCCCGGGCTTTATAAAATATTTAGATCAGCACAAGGGTGGGACTGGGTCCTAAGTATTGGCTAGTACTATACCAGCTTGAATATTTATCCAGTAGGCCATCAGGGACAGGAAGGGAATGGAAACTTTCAAATCAATTTACCCACCTGGACCGTGCCCCCAAATTTGTCACAATAAGCACCCCAGTAAAAAAGTCTTTCAACGCAGGCATCCACTTCGCTTAAAGCTTCCTCCATCTTGACACCAGTCAGAGCACTAAGGTTTTGTGCCATCTCGTCCCGTCGCTGTTCCAGGTTCTCTGCCATGTAGTAAACAATCTGAGCCCTGTTGTGGGCAGCTCGCTTCCCCCAGCTGCAGGGAACAAATGATAAAATTGTCATTACCCCGTCTAAGGTCCTTAACTCCAAAACAACTTGTTTTTTTTTGGCCAGTCTACAACTTCCAAGAGTCAGGAGCAATAGCTTAGGCTGAATTAAGTCAAAATCACATTTCGCTTACTCCAGGGGGCCTTATTCTAGACAATGGGTAATCTTTAATGACTTCTCATACAGTTGCAAGGCAAAACTCAGACCTTTATCCCCATGCCTGCTGCACTCAGTCAGCAGCAATTTCACAGCACAGCTCCTGACTCTCAGCCCCACAGTACACAAACTGAGCCTGGCTCAAAACTGTGAAATGAAGAATCACACCGACACACAGATTCATCTCCGAGCAGAGCCTTTTACCATTACTTACCCTGGTGCCCCTGAGTGAGCAGCCTCGACTGCATTCCGGACATCTTTCCGGTTACAATCACTCACGTAGGCGAGAGCCTTGCCACAGTGGTCAAAGATGGGCCGCGAGTACATGCTGCAAGGCCTCTTCTGAGCGCCTCCATAGTACACTTTATATGTACGGTCAATGCTGCAGATCAATAAAACACCAGCAAGTCAACTGCGTAAATGAAGACAGTCCCATTTACATGGTTTCATGACAAAATTCCCACTTCTTCTCACCTCGGAACTGCATCAATCTGGAGTAGTTTGGGTTTTGCCATCTGACCTGGTATTGGTGGAAGGTCTGCTCCATGTACGGCTGCGAATGTATTATACTGGATTTCTCCTGGATTCGGGCGAGGTCGTTCCTCCCATGCGGGCCTCACATACTCATACAAGCCCTAAACGGGAGAGTGGGTTGCAGGGTGAAAGGCCAGCAGTAAATAACTAACTTTAAATTATTTTTATGCTTCCACCCAGGGTTATGGGAATGTAGTGTGCCACAACCAACTGGAAAATTGATCCTAAACTAAAAGACCAGCCTTGTCTTGTAAACTGTATACATCCAAGATCAGCACATGGTGAACGCTCTCTGAAAGGGAAGAGTCTAAAGTAGTTCCTTGTCATTAACTACATTAATCCACAATATTTTCAAAAATATATCTAGCTTTGTATATATCTCTTAACATGACCTTTGTAAAAAGGGGCATCAAGCTGTCTCTGACCAAAGACCCACCACCACCACAAGACACTTTGCTATAGTCTAACTCCACTGTAGGGCTGTTCTCCCATTAGACAGAGAGGTGGCTAAAGGTGGTTTAACCGGAGGGTCCCCATGCCTCAGGTGAGGGGAGAGGTTAAGAAGGAGAATCCTTCATGGCAACCTAAGCCAGTGCAGAAATTGAAGCCATGCCATTGACATCATCTGCATTGCAAACCAGCCAACTGAGCTAATTCACCCCAATACTAATGGCACCGGAAAGGATGTCAAGACAATCGATAAGAATGATGACAGGAACACGTGGGACGTACATATTTAGAAGGGATTGGCCAAGGGCTTTCATAGAATCCCTACAGTGTGGAAGTGGGCCATTCGGCCCATCAAATCCACAGCAAACTTCTGAAGAGCATCTCACCAATCCGCCCACCCTATTACCCCTCATTTCCCACGGCCAATCCACCTAACCTGCATATCTTTGGACTGTGGGAGGTAACCAGAGCACCCAGAAGAAACCCACACAGATACGGGGAGAACGTGCAAATTCCAGTCACCTGAGGCTGGGATTGAGCCTGGGTCCCTGGCGCTGAGAGGAAGGTGTGCTAGCCACTGAGCCACCGTGTCGCCTGTATCCAGAAGTCTTTAAAATTATCTAGGTTTTGATACACAGTGAACTCTTCCTCTCATGAAGAGCATAACTAGACACCAACAAAATAAGACAGTCACAAGAAATCCAATAGGAAATTCAGAAGAAGCTTCTTTACCCAGAGGATGGCTGAAGGGAATATTATAAATGCACTTAAGGGAATAACATACGAAGAAGGGAATACTGTGCAGGGTTACAACTGCAGATACAGATGATGGCTGATGGCTGATGCAGACTACTTCTCTTTTGTATATCCTCTCAAATCCATGCTTCTTAATTGAATGGACTGGGGATGTGGCTGCAGACTGTATCATGGCAATATGGAGCTAAACCATTCCAGTAAAACACTGTACAGGCTGCATATTCAAGAACGCACGAGAACGGATAGCATTTTCCATGCAGAAGGGCAGCACATTGCGGATTTCTTTCTGGATTGCCTTCTTGTGGTCTTTTGATTAGTCACTGTTTTCCTTCTGATATACTTTTCCCCACTCTACCCCCCAAGCTAGAGGCAAATCCTCAATTTCTATTATGGAAAATTGAAAATTTTACTGCACCCATAGAACATTTGTCAAAAATTTGTTTTATTAGATATTGGGAATGCAAGTTTAATCTTTAGAACAATTCCACTGGTCATGGAATTTGACTCATAACCTGTCCTCCAGCACTGACCTCTTTTCCACCATCTCGTCCAAATCCACTTTCCTTGTACCCACCAAAGCCAGCTGCGGCATCAAACATGTTGTGCCCATTCACCCAGACTGCTCCTGCCTTCAAACTAAGGAGAGAATGTTCGTCAGTAAATCTGGAAGAGTAACTGCAGAAGCATGAATGTGAATGATGAAGGAATGCGAAGGGGAGGAAGGGGAAGAGAAAAACAAAGGAAGGAAAGAAAAGGTAGCGTAAGGAGGTGAGTGGGAAAGAGAAGTAAAGAGGCAAGGGGACAGGGGAAAGAGGATGGCAGCAAAGTGGAAAAGCAGAGAAGAAGCAAAATGATGCGAGAAAAGAAAAAAGGCAAAAGCTGGTAAGAAAGGAAGAATAGAGATATAGAGGTAATATGCAAGACAGGATGGGAGAACAAGTAGGGAAGATGTCACATGCCACCCCAGTCAATCAATGATCACAGATAATATTACCTCATTGCCACCTCAAGTGCCAATGGCAGGTTTTCAGTCCAAACACTGCCAGCGAGTCCGTACGGTGAGTTGTTTGCCAAAGCAATAGCTTCCTTTGCCGTTCGGAATGTCAGAGCGACCAAAACTGGTCCAAAGATCTAAAGAATTAAGGGGTGATTACTTAAATGTCACAGCAACAAAGATCCATAAAAACTTTCTCCCTGCTGCCCAGAAACGGTTTATGCCTGTGTTTTAATCCCAGACCCGACCACCAACTTTATTATGAACCTGGAGGAAATTACCCAAATGATGTTACAATCTGGCTAGGGATCAGTAACCTTTATTCTTAAAGCAGACCATAGGTGACCTCCATGAGACTTATTAAGAAAATAAAGCCACAAGATTGCATGGTTTTACCATACTTTTCTTTACAGATTAGAACAGTAATAGAATCCGCAATGTATGCACACCCAGATTTAGTATGTGGTAAACATGGGTAATATTTTCAACCAAACACCCCAGAACACATGTTAAGCAGTAACTATTTTCAAGACAGATACCAAGGATGCCTTGGTAACTCCCCAGGACATGAATGATACAGCGATTCTCAAGATCAAAGGAGGGAATTTTTCCGTGGGGGAGGCCCTTAATGAGTACTTTGTATTGGCATGCACCAAAGTGAAGGACATAGATAGTGGTAAGATTAGGGAGGGGTAAGTGATATTCTAGGGCATGTCAATATTAAGATGAAAGTGGTGTTGGGTGTCTTGAAAAACATCAAGGTAGATAAGTCCCCAGGACTTGATGGAATCTATCCTAGCATACTGAGGGAGGCAAGAGAGGAAATTGTTGGGACTTTGACAGAGATCTTTGTGTCCTCTTTAGCCATAGGCAAGGTCCCAGAAGATTGGAGAATAGCCAAATTTGTTCCAATGGTTAAGAAGGGGAACAGGAATAATTCAGAAAATTATAGGCCGGTGAGCCTTACATCAGTGGTAGGGAAGTTACTGGAGAAGATTCTTAGGGGCAGCATTTACTCTCATTTGGACTTTGGACATTAGGGTTAGTCAGCATGGCTTTGTGCAAGGGAGGTCTGGTCTCAAATTTGTTTGAGTTTCTTTGGGAATGTGACAAAGATGATTGATGAGGATGGGGTAGTGGATGTTGTCTACACAGATTTTAGTAAAGCATTTGATAAGATCCCACGTGGTAGGCTGGTCCAGAATATTAAGTCACATGGGATCCACAGTCAGTTGGCAATTTGGATACAAAACTGACTTAGTCATAGAAGACAAAAGATAGTTGTGGAGGGGTGTTCTTCTGACTAGAGGTCGACAAGAACAAGTGCTGGGACCTCTGCTGTTTGTAATATATACAACATATGTATAAGTGATTTGGTTGTTTGTAGATGGTCTGATTGGCAAAGTTGCAGATGACATGAAAATTGGTGGGGTTGTGGTAATGAGGAACATTGTCAAAGGATACAGATCAGTTGGAACATTGGGCAGAGACTGGCACGTAGAGTTTAATCTGAATAAGTGGGAGGTGAGGCATTTAGGGAAGGCAAATGTAAGAGGGAAGTACACAGTGAATGGCAGGACCTTTAGAAGCGCTTGTGTGCAGAGGGATCGGAGGTAGAAGTCTATAGATCCCTGGTAAAGATGGTAAAGAAGTATATGCTATGTTTGCCTTCAATGGCTAGGGCACAGATTTTAAAAGTTGACACGTCATTTTGCAGCTTGATAAAACTTTAATTAGGCCACATTTGGAGTTGTGTGTGCAATTTTCATCACCACGGTATAGGAAGGACGTTAACGCAGAGTGCAAATGAGGGTTGCCAGAATGTAACCTGGATTGGAGTGTATTTGTTATAAGGAGAAGTTGGCCAAACGTGGATTGTTTTTGCTAGAGTGTTGAAGGCTGAGGTATGACCTGATAGAAATAGATAAAATGATAAGCAGCACGTATGGGTGGATAGCCTTTTCCCTCCCCAAGAGTGGAAATGTCAAATATAAGGCAGCATAGGTTTAAAGCGAGAGAGGGAAAGTTTGAAGGAGATATGTGAGGCAGCTGTTTCTTTTCTTTAAGAAAATACAGAGGGTGGTAGGTGCCAGAAACGCGATGCTGGGGAGACGGTCAAAGCAGGCACGATAGCAATGTTTAAGAGGCATTTAGACAGACATATGAACAGGGAAGAGAGGGATAAGGACCACGTGCAGGTAGATAGGTGTAGTTTAAAATGGCATCATGGTCAGCACAGACATGGTTGGCCAAAGGGCTTGTTCCTGCGCTGTACTGTTCTGTGTTTACAAGGGATTACAATTATTTACTATTGCAGATCTGGCCTCAAAATTCCCTCTCTACAGCCACTCCATCATGGACTGCCACAGTGACTGCTCCTGTTTAATCAATCACCCTGCTCCCCTGGGTCCACACTTGCCTGGCTACAAAAACTCTACTTCAATAATTATTTGCTGGAACCACAACAGTTTATGCTGAGAGCGAACTTCACAAAACTAGATTTGTCCCCGAGTTTTCCCCAAGCTCCAATCTTGCTCGGGTGTATTAAGCAAATACTGCTCATGGGCTTTTCAACCTTCACTCAGTTGCGCTAAAGAATTAATACATGCAGGCTTCTTCTGAGTCCATCACAGCCTTCCTACTTTCATAGTTTGCCAGCACATCTGCCACTAAGTGCTTTTAAATCGCTCATTAGGTTTTCAACTGTACAGAATCCGAACAGTTCCCATCAGTACAGCTAACTATCAGCACTCCTAAAATGAAAGGATAAATAAAAGTAAAATATGGTGGATTTTGGAAATCGGAGATAAAAACAGTGGATGTTAGTGAAACTCAGGAAGTCTGGCAACATCCGTGGAGCAAGAAACGAGAGTTAATGTTTTGTGTCCAATATGACTTATTCAATGCTGAGTTTCTCCAGCATTTTGTGTTTGTATTTCTAAAATGGAGTCTGCCCCACAGAGGATCTGTCACTCTCTCCTCCTCCAACTTGGTGATCCCCCCACCCTAAACTATTTTCTTTCTGAAAAAGTGAACCCCTCCCCTGTCCATCACGCTGAACTGTCTCGCGTGAATAATCGAGAAACCCTTGCAATAAACCTGCCCCTATCTCAGGACAGAATTTAATGCTGCCACTGAACAACTCTTGGATTGAGCATGTTGTAAATAATTGGCACACTTACAGAGAAGGCTGTCTTTCACGTTATACTTGGGCATATCAGAAAGGGATTTCATTATGCCTATCAGAGGCTGAAAGCGAGAATAATTTCTCAGTCTGAAGCAAAGAACATCACAGGCTTCACTCAGGTTCAACCAACACAGAAAACAATCACATTCTGTTGAACTTTGGATGCACTTTTCATCACTGTTTGTTAACCAACTTTCCCCATCTGCGCTATCCATGTTACGCCACAACCCTTTCCCCAGCAGCCACCACATCCAGCTCCATTATTAATGCATAACGTTTACTTGGTTTATCAAGATATCTACATCTGTGTGGAACCCAACTTGTATCAGTGTGTGCAACATGGCCACATCACAAGAACATATAGTAACCCCATAAAGTACAACATCTCAAATTGCTTTACAGCAAATCTGGTACTTTTGAACAATAGTCTGTGTTATAAGGTATGAATTGGGCAGCCATTTCACCCACAGCAAGCTCCCAGAAACAAATGACCAAATAATCTGCTTTTATTGATACTAATTAGGTGAGAATTAATGGCATGGACACTGGGGAAAACTCCCTTACTCTGCTTTGGAATAGCAGGATGGGTCATTTTAGGTCCACTTGGGAGGGCCAGTGGCCTTGGTTTAACATCTCTTCGAAAGACGACAAGATTAGCTATGGTGATGTCAATGATCCAACAGCTCACTAACGTTAATTATCTACACAAAAGCATAAACATCGCTACTGTAAAGAGGAACTGGTGCATGATTTGTGCTCAGGAAACCAGACCTCAGCTACAAAGAAAGGCAGAATAGAGTACGTTCTTAACTAACATCAGCTGTAGCTCAGGTGGTAACACACTTGCCTCTGAATTGGCAAGAGGCTGAAGTCCCACTCCAGGGCTTGAACCCAAATCATGACTGCCAATCTAGCACAATACTGAGAGAGTGCTGTACTGTTGGAAGGTCTGTCTTTTAGGCAGGGTTTGTAGGATGAGACAGTTACTAACAAGGTCAGCAGCTCTTTATTATCCCTAATTGCCCTAAAGGTGGAGTTCAAGCTGCCATTTTGAACCACTAAAGTTCATATAATGAAAGGACACTTACACTGCTGTTAGGAAGAAAGCTCCAGGATTTTGAACCAGTGACATCAAAGAACAGCATTACAATTTCGGGTCAGGATGCAGTGTGGCTTGGAGGTGAACTTATTGGTGATGGTGTTTTCATGTATCATTCCAGGTGGCAAAGGTTACAGGTTTGGAAGACACTGTTGAAGAAGCCTTGGTAAGATGCAATTGTCCATCCTGTGGATGGTACATAACGCTATGATGGAAGTAGTGAATGTTTAAGGTGCGGGATGGGGTGCCAGTCAAGCAGGCTATTTTGTTCTTGATGGTGTCAACATTCTGGAGTGTTATTGGAACTGCATTTACCCAGGTAAGTAGGGAGTATTCCACAACGCTCTCGAGTTGTGTCTTATAGATGGTGAACAGATTCTAGAGAGTCAGGCGAGTTATGTGCCATAGAATTGCCAGACTCTGATTTGCTCTTATAGCCACATGACTCAAATGACTGGTGTATTTCAGGTAAGCCCCAGAATCTTGTTAAATGGTGAGGTTGGTGAAATGTGAAAATAATTAACTGCCTGAATGAACGTAAAAGCTCCAATGACATATTTCCAAGAGACACAGAGCAGTTGTCCCATGTTGGATAATATTAACAGTCAAACATCACAAAGATCAGACTAATCAGTCATACAATCACAGTACAGCTGTGAAAGCTTGCCAAGTGCAACACAGCTACTACATCACAACAGTGACTACACTTCGAAAGCACTTCTTTGTATGTATGTAAAGCATTTTAAGATATCTGATGGTCGTGAAAAGTGCAAGCCTTTCTTTTTAATGTTCTACAATTTTGCAAATAGAAGGTATGAAAGAAAAGGGTCACACCCATTAAACAAGTGACTCCGTGAGAAAATGGAAACTGAGCTTCCAGCAGATTTCAATTACCTCTTCATGGACAACACGGGAGACTGTGTTCACGTGGGTGATGAGGGTGGGTGGATAGAAGATACCTTTCTGAGGCATTCCTTCACACATCTGGTACACCTGCATGAGAGAGAGAGAGAGAGAAAAAAAGAGAGAGATGTGAAAGCTTGCTAAAAGTCCAGGAAAGAGAAAACCATACTTCAGCTCCTGTGTCTAAGATGGAAGTTGTGGAAAACGAAGACTACCCCACTACCAAGCTTTAGTCAGTCATAAAATCAGAAAAAATGTACAGCACAGGAAGAGGCCACGCAGTCTATCATATCTGAGCCAGCCTAAAAAGGAGTCAACCATCCACTTTCCAGTTCTTGATCCATAGCCCTGTAGATTATGGCACTTGCAGTGTCAGTCAATTTGTTTTTAGTACAACAAGGGTTCCTGTCTCCACCACCCTTTCAGTCACTATTCCAGACATCTGTCACCCCATAAATGAAAACCATTCTCAACTCCTCTCTAATCCTTCCACCGATTACCTCAAATTTACTCCAAGCTAGGCTCCCTGGTTATCGACGGATATCAGCTATCAAAGCATTTTTGTCTTTCACTCAGGACAAATGCAAAAATACTCAATTAAAAATGACTGCAATGATTTATACTTCAGATGAAAAGGGTGCCAAATGATTGGCAAGTCAGCTCTTATTCATCTACGTACTGCTTTGAAAGAGAAGTGGGGAATTAAAAGATCCTCAAGCTTCTAGGTAATTTAAAAAAGGCACAAAGCTTGGACATGATCCTTTTGTTTGGACAGAATGGGTTGCTGTAATTGAATGCATGTCGCTTGTAGTAGATTATAGCTTGTAGATTATTTTAAGTTGTTGCTAGTTGGTGCACTGGGGTCTGTTCAGCAAGTGTTTCCCGATCTCAGATTTACATCTGACAGCATAAGCTTTTCCTGAAGATCTTGTGATCTGTACAATGTGCAATGAACTAAACAGGTCTGTGCAATTCCTGTTTTTTTATTGAGTTGTGTCATCTCATCCAGCTCAAGCAGTAGCGTCACACTTAGACTCAACAGCCCAGGCAGGAAATGCGAGGTGAGAAAAAGACATCTAGACATGATAATAGAGACCACAACTGAAACCACATGTTTCTACATGATTGATGATGCAACCAGGCTTGGCTGCAACATCCTGGTCAGTAAAATAGTCTCTCAATATTCACTGTCAAGTCTGCCCGTGCATGGTAGGCAACAGGATAAGGAATAAAAGTGCTGGAGAAATTCAGCAGGTCTGGCAGCACCTGTGGAGAGAGGATCAGAGTTAATGTTTCAAATGTATTGTCTTCAGAATTGAGCGAGATGTTGGATGGTGGACAACACCAGTGGCACAGCATTCAGGAGAGATGGGAATGAGAAATCATGAATACAATCATTCTGGACTGAAACAGAAGATATTCGGACTCGCAACTTGCCAATCCAATTATTGAATTAATTTTAGGTTCCAGAGCTAACTTACACACTAACTTACTCACCAAACTAGATCAAAGAAATTTGAAGACAGCAACTTTTTGAGCCTTAAGAATTTGAAAATCATAAGAGCAAGAAATGGAGGTATATAAGTTCCAATTTCATTGAAAGAATAAGTTTAAAATGGAGGTGGAGCACAGTACCTCAAATTCCACTACAGTCATGGGCAGGAAGAAGTGCTGAGATCACCACTCATCTACAGCTATCTACAGGGAATCTCTAGAGGAAGAACGTAGGGTTGTTGCCCATCCATTTTTGGACTGGCCAGTTCAAAATGTCAGCCATCAGCAGAATGAATGAGAATACTCTAACCATGTATCCTTTCCTTTCTGAATGAAACAGAACGCAGTGAGATCTTGCAATGGAAAATCTTCATCAGTCAATAGATTAAATCTCAGTACATGTGCTTCATTTAGAACATTTCCCAATGTGCACATGTTGAACAGATAATCTCCTTAATGTACCAGCTAGCATCAAGTTGTGCATAACTTAATCATTTGTGCAAATGTAGGAATTGTTCACAGACTAATGCCAGCTTAGTGTATAGGAACCAAACATATGAAATAGAAGCAAGAGTGGACTGTTAGGACGTAGAGCTGAACTTAAGGGGAGGCAATGGCTGGTGGCATTAACACTAGATCATTATTTCACAGATCCAGATCTAGGCCATTCTTGAGTCCTGTGCTCAATTCTGATCACCACATTACAGCAAGGATGTGGAAGCTTTAGAGAGGGTGCACAAGAGGTTTACCAGGAAGGCTGCCTGGATTATAGGGCATGAGCTATAAGGAGAGGCTAGAAAAACTTGGGTTGTTTTCTCCAGAGTGGCGAAGGCTGAGGGGAGACTTGATAGAAGTCTATAAAATTGTGGGATGCATAGATAGCATTGATGGTCAGAATCTTTTGCCCCCAGAGTTGAAATGTTTAATACTAGGGGGCATGCATTTAAGGTGAGAGGAAAAAAGTTCAAAGGAGATGTGAGGGACATGTCTTTTTTTACAGTCTGGAATGCACTGCCAGGGGTGGTGATGGAGGCAGATACGATAGGGGCATTTAAAGGACGTTTAGTTAAGCATATGAACATGCAGGGAATATGGGCCAAGGACAGACAGAAGGGACTAGTTTAATTTGACATCATGTTCAGCGCAACACCGAGGGCCAAAGGGCCTGTTCCTGTGCTGTACTGTTCTGTTCTAAGTTCCCAGTGTCTAATGATGACCATGAAACCATTGAGGATTGTCAGAGAAACCTATCTGGATCACTAAAATCCTTTAGGGAAGGAAACTGCTGTCCTTACATCTGACATACATGTCACTCCAGATCTACAGCAATATGGTTCACTCTTAACTGCCTGCTGGCAATTAGGCGTGGGCTATAAATGCTGGCCTGGTCAGTGACATTCACAACTGGTGAATAAATTTTAAAAAGTATGATTTTTAACCTCTCACCTCTGCTCCTTCACTCCTCGCCTGCTCTACATATTCCACGATCGTCTTCTTCTGTGATTCATCCACCAATGCACCCATGTCAATGCCCTTGTCCAGACTGTCACCTACACGCAGGCGTTGCATTCGCTGCTTTAGCTGGTCAATTAGCTTGTCAGCAATCGACTCCTGTATTAGCAGTCTAGAGCCTGCACTGCAAACCTAAAACAGAGAAACACCATAATCCTGAAGAGATCGACAGCAACTTATCTTCTAGCTATTACTGTTTAATACTCAAGGCAAGCGATAATAATACTGGGGTGTGAAACACTTTCAATTTAGCGTTGGTACCATAGATTTCCTCAACAGATTAGAAGAAGAGTAAAGCTCCCCTTGCCCAGTACTAATCAAGTTCAGGACTGGTGTCAGTCACTGATGCAAAAGTTCAGATAAAGTCAAATCTGTTAACTGTGCTTGTGGAGAGGCACCCAAACTATGAGATATTTCCTAGTATGCCCTCTACTACCAAACCCACGTTAACATCAAAGTTTGAAGGTTTTCAAATCTTGAGCTAAAGACTGCATGCAACAGTGGTGAGGGAAGCCGTAGCAACACATGAAAAAGCTCCAACCGTTTGCTTTAAACACCCTGACCTCAGGAAGACAAAACCTGTTACCAAGTGGAGAACATCCTCTTGGAAAACCATCCATCCTTGTGAAACTGGCCATCATACTGTAAAAGCGAGAGGAATTTGTAAGTCCAGACAGCAATAGTGTTGAGTTGGCTGTTCTCAGCCAGGACATCAGCTTGAGCACTGAAACATGTTTCAAAAGGGAATGGTAGTCTTCCTTGTCTTTTACCCAACTGGCTATTCTTCTTTATATGCCAGCTTTGGCAGGTTGCAATCTTTGCCTTTGGAAGTATGTTATTACATAATGAAAGAAAATACTGCCAAAAGAAGCCAAATATTTCTGACAATGGCACATACTCTTGGGTGCTTGTTGGTTGGAAAATATATAACATGCCTTAGCTAAACTCGCAGCCGTCAGTCTCACCTGTCCTTGGTTGAACCAAATTGCATCCACGAGGCCTTCCACCACACTGTCCAAATCAGCTGTATCAAACACAATGAAAGGAGATTTCCCACCAAGTTCCAGTGATAGTTTCTTGCCAGTGCCAGCTGTAGATCGACGGAGGAGCTGACCGACCTGCGTGACACATTAAAAGGTTCAATAATCAGAAACAAAGAAGTTCCTTATAGGATTTATATTGGATTTTTATAGGGGTTTGACAGGGTGGATGCAGAGATTGATTTCCTTGGCTGGGAAGTATAGAACACAGGGATAAGGGCCAAGGTGAGGAAAAACTCATTCACTGTGAATCTTCAGAATGGCCTAATCCCCAAGGGGCTTGTGAATGCTCCATCATTAAGTAAAGAAAGTAAATTAGATCTTTGGTCTCTCAGGGACTTATGGGATATGGGGCTTGGGGGTAGAAAGTAGGAGTTTAAGAGATCTATCATAACTATATTGAATGGCAGAGTAGACCTCAGGGATTGATGGTCTACTCCAGTTCCTATTTGTTTTGTTCCCGGCCAAAACCCAACATCTTCACCTTTTAAAAGAAACTAGCTTCAAATATTGATTAATCAATCACATCAGAACTATGATTCAATTACTGAGGTTTACCCACCATGTCCTGATGGCTCTCGAAACATGGGATCTTGAAGCCAGTTACACCGCAACTCAAAGCCTTTTCTAGTAACCTATTCCCTGAATCAATCATCCTTTTGGATGAAAACATTCCCTCTCGACTTTCCTTTTTACACCTAACTTCCCATTTTTAACCGTTTGCAAAAGAGAACAACTTGTCAGGATAAATTTTATCTCAATTTCTTGGCACGGTGGCTCAATGATTAGCACTGCTGCCTTACTGTGCTAAGGATCCAGGTATGATTCCACTCTTGGGCAACTGTCTGTGTGGAGTTTGTACGTTCTCCCCCTTGTTGAGTGGGTTTCCTCATAGTACTCTGGTTTCCTCCCACAGTCCAAAGATGCGCAGGTTAGGTGGGTTGGCCATGCTAAATTGCACATAGTTTCCAGGAATGTGCAGGCTAGGTGGGTTAGCCACAGAGAATGCAGTGATATGGGGACAGGGTGGGGGCCGGGGAAGGGGTCAGTCTGTGTGGGATACACCTTGGAGGATCAGTGTGAACTCGTTGGGCCAAATGGCCTGAATCCACTCTATAGAGATTCTAATGATTCAATTAGGTCACCACAAAGTCTGCTCTCTCACAAAAGGAGACAAGCCCAACATTCTGCAGAAGTTGTTAGCAGAAGACTGGAAGGATTGCCCTACAGGGATGAACTACAGCAACCAGTTATTTCCTCATCAGCAAGTTCTCTGCCCTTCAATATCCATCTCCTGCTAGTCCACATCTCCAGGAAGCTCCCCTTACACTGACTAATTCCTTGTGGGCAGTTTCTGAAGGCTCACTGTTGAAATTTTCTTTCCCCTTCCGATTTTGTCCCTTTTCTGAAGGCACTAATGATTTTTCACTCTGCCACAGTTCTGTGAGCATAACCAGCCTTCCAGCACATTCCTTCAAAGCTTGCTTGTCGTGAGAGAGATGAGGCAATGGAATCAGCAGAACATTTATTCAAGGAAGATGAGCTACCCTCTGCTCAATGCCGGTTTATGAAACGGGATCAGGACCTGGAACCCTGGTTAGTATTTCATCACCTTCCCTCCCGCCTCGCTTGTTCAGCAATACTGACACTGATTACAGCACACTAAGTGTTGGCCCAATAAATTTATTTCAGATTTGAGGCCAAAAGCTTACGGCTGTTCTGTTCAGCTTAGCAACACACAAAGTATTTTAAACATTGGTTATCAGGGAAAGCTAGCGAAAAACTGCAAACCTTTTCACTGACACCCAAATTGAGTTGCACAGCTCTCAATACCTAATTATGTTTCTGGCTTAGGATCATGCTACAGCAGAGAGAATGGGGATTTTAACACGATCGCTCACATCTACAAGTCAATGGAATTTTATAACAGCTGCCAAAGGGGGCTGGAAGGTCATTGCAGGACCAAAGGGAATGCACTACTCTGTTTTACAGTGGGCCCTGTATCTTCCAACACTGAAACACAATGAGCTAACAGGCTTAGTGTTAGATGACTAGTATGAAGTCAGTTAGCCAGTGAATCTGAACAGCAAGATGTTGAATAATTATGCTAGACACATGCCCCATCAGGCGGGATGTGCACAATTCTCCCTCTCATTTTGTTTTCTGCTTCTTTACTAAAGCTCTTCTAATTAAATGTCAGTTTCTACACAGTTAAAGCAGCAGAATCAGAAACACAATGTTATTTGATGTAAAGCCCCTTGTGATTTACAGGAAGAACATTAAGCCTCACGCCAAAAAATGAAACACAGTACCAATAAACAAAACCCAGCTGATTGCATATTATCTTCTTTCTGATGCTTTTGTACCAAAGGTAATGAGTATTATGCTTCCCATTTCAGACAATGGGCACCATCAACTCCTATCTTGCTCCAGCAAGTAAGGCCGGGTCTGTTCAGTTGGATAGCTAGATGTAGATGGAGAACACAAACATCTTCTAAATCGAAATACACTCAAGGCCGTATAGTAGGAGTTAAATACAAAAATAAAAGGCTCCCTCTAGCTTTTTTTTTTAAAAAAGTACTTCCAAGGGCAAGTTCAGTACAGATTTGATGTAGAAGAAGCTTCTATTAATGTTCCCAAGAGCACTTAATGTTTTTAAGAGTTAGCTTTTAATGCAAATGTTTAAATTCCAAAAGTTATGAAAGGTGCTGTCAAAACCCAGCCATTTCATTTATGTTAACATCACACCGGAAATTGCAAATAAACTGGCTTTCCAATGAGCATAATGGACTTACATTTTATCTGACCATTCAGGAAGGTTACAGGCCTTGGTTCATTCCATTTATCAGGGACATGGTTGTGGAGATATAGAAACAAACACTTTAAAAGTTCTCAAACTTTTGAAGATTAATTTCACTTTGAGATAGGATACTATTACCCATAAGCAGAGGTGAACACTTGGCATCCAGTAAGAAATACCAAAGCCATTTCTAGCATCCTCCATGGAACCAGAGATGAAACCAAAGATCAGTCTTGCTCCTTTAATGAGCTTAGTAATAAAACCGCAGTACCTTTACTCCAAGGCAACTATACTTGCTGACTGGTTAAAAACCTTAAGACATTGGTCTGGTTCTGCTCTTTTCTTCCTATTGAACGGCAGAGCTTTCTCAATGAGATCCGGACTGATCTGTTAATCCTCAAATCCACCTTCCTGCGTATTCCCTATAATCCTTGATTCCCTTATTGATTGAAAATCTTAAATCTTAGCCCAACTACGCTTAAGAAAGATCCTGAAAACAGCAGAAGCAAATGCTCAAATAACTGCACTACAGACTTCCATTCAAAAGACTGGCCTCTTTTTTCCCCCAGAGCTATTAGTGGGTCACGTCCACTTGTCACTAATAGCAGCTGGTTAAGTGACAGACAATTCAATGTCATGACACACATGTTATCAGATTTGCACAAAGTAACATGGACAGCAGGTTGGCACTTGAATTCCAGATGGCAGGAAGTAAGTGCAGCAAGGGAGAAGGCTGACTTAAAGACCACAGGATTTTAAAATTGAGACAGGGTGAGTGGGGCCAGATAAACAGATTTAAGAGAAATGTCTCTAAGAATTTATCCAATGCAGTACCGTGGTAGAGCCGGTGAAAGCGACCTTGTCCACATCTTGATGCATAGCCAGTTTGCTGCCAAAAGCTCCATTTCCCGTCACCACATTGAACACTCCGGGTGGGAGGCCAGCCTCTGTACAGATCTCAGCAAACAGTAGGGCAGTGAGTCGGGTGTATGAGGCTGGTTTCAATACAACTGTGTTACCTGAGATTCAGAGGGGAATGAGTCAGACTAGAGATGGGCATTTAAAGCATTGCAACATTTCTTTACGAACTTCACCAGTGCAACTTCAGATTAACATTCATTATAGTTAAAAATCTCAATCCAATCTTCATTGCACTATGAATTAAATTTATTCAATAAATCTGGACTGTATTACATTAATGATGCAGCAATGTCTTGCTTTCAAACCTTTGATTTTGATTGAAAGAAATAGCTTGGATTTGTATAGAATCTGTCATAATCACAGTTCCAATGCATTTTACACCTGATTAAGTCAGTTAAAATGCGCCAACAGTTTGGATAGAGTCATAGAGCTATACAGCACGGAAACAGACCCTTCGGTCCAACTTGTCCATGCTGACCAGATATCCTAAATTAATCTAGTCCTATTTGCCAGCATTTGGCCCATATCCCTCTAAACCCTACCAATTCATATACCCATCCAGATGCCTTTTAAATATTGTAATTGTACCAGTCTCCACCACTTCCTCTGCCAGGTCATTCCATACACACACCACCCTCTGCGTGAAAAAGATGCCCCTTAGGTCCCTTTTAAATCTTTCCCCCCTCACCTTAAACCTATGCCCTCTAGTTTGGACTCCCCTACCCTGGGGAAAAGGCTTTGGCTCTTGACCCTATCCATGTCCCTCATGATTTTCTAAACTTCTATAATGTCACCCATCAGCCTCCGACACTACTCCAGGGAAAATAGTCCCAGCATATTCAGCCTCTCCCTATAGCTCAAACTCTCCAACTCCAGCAATGTCCTTGTAAATCTTTTCTGAACCCTTTCAAGTTTCACAACATCTTTCCTCTAGCAGGGTGACCAGAATTGAACACAGTTTGTCAGATAATGTAAAGAAACAGCAAAGGGATAAATGGTTAAATCAGTTTCAGTGATGGTGCTTTAGAGATAAATGCTAGCCAAAGCACCAATGAAATGTTGCTTTTTTTACCACGATGAATCTTTCTAACCCAAAGATTTCAGGGTAGAGGCCTGGTTGAACATCTCATCTGAAACGTAGTACCTCCAAAGGGCTATATCCCCTCCATTCTGTCCTCAAGAGTCAGCTCATACATCACAGAGTCATAGAGTCATACAGCACAGAAACAGGCCCTTCAGTCCAACTAGTCCATGCCAAACATACTCCCAACTAAACTAGTCCCACCTGTCTGCTCCTCACCCATATCCCTCCAAACCTTTCCTATTCACGTGATGTCTTTTAAATGCTGCAATTGTACCCACATCCACCACTTCCTCAGGAAGTTCATTCCACATGCTAAACACCCTTGTATAAAAAAAATTTGCCCCTCGTGTATTTTTTAAATCTCTCCGCTCTCACTTTAAAAATGTGCCCTCTAATCTTGAAATCCCCCAGCCAAAGGAAAAGACAATTACCATTAACTCTATGTGTAGCCCTCATTATTTTATAAACTTCTATAACTTCTCAACCTCCTATGCTCCAGTGAAAAAAAATCCCAGCCTATCCAGTTTTCTTTATAACTCAAATTTTCCATACCCTGGTAAATCTCTTCTGAATTCTCTCCCACTTAATAATATCCTTCCTATAACTGGGCAACCAGTTATAAATGGACACAATACTCTAGAAGAGGCCTCACCAATGTTCTGTACAATGTCAATATGACATCCCAACTCCTGTACCCAAAGGACTGAGCAATGAAGGCAAGCGCGCCAAACGCCTTTTTAAACTATGTTTAAAATCTATGGAACTGGGTTGGAACCAACAATCTTCTGACTCAAAAGAGTGCAACGCAGCAATCAATGATTGACTGAATACCGATTATGGAACCCTCTCCTCCCAAACAAAATGCTTTCATAATTAATGGACAGTGGGAGCATGAATAAAATGAGCACAATAAAGCAATGTTAAAGTTAGCTTTCTCAAAATAAATCTTACAGTGCAATCAAAGAACAGCAAGGAGAGGAGGCAAAAACACAAAGCAAGCAGTATTATTCAAAAACATGCTTCAAATTATTTCCATCATTTTGAACTATCATTTCACACTTATCAATTAGCTATCTGCGCACACCCCATCTACAAAACCTTGCATCCTGTCGTTACATTTTCCAGCAATATTTTCCATTCTAAATTCATATTTCCACATTTGTCATGTATTACAAAAAATTGTACTAATTTCTAATTTCTTAACTTCTCCCATTCTATTGACAGTATTCTTCCTGTTATAAAACAGCTGAATTTCAAATCACTAAGAGCCAGACCATAGAAGATTGACCTCTGGACATGGCTATTCCAATACTTTCCTGGCTAGTCTCCCATCTTTCATCCTTTTGCCACCTATCCCCATCCAAAACCTTATTCACATTTGCTTAAAGTTACATTCATCCGTCATTCCTCTGCTAGCTCAGAGTGATCAAATCCCTGCATAGGTGCCTCTCCTCTTCTCAATAATATCCTTGAACGCTATCAGCTATCAAAATCACCTCAAGATAATAGATCTTAACAGATCTCTCCAAATTCCATCCCTCACCCCTCCACGACTAAAGAAAACGACATAAAATCCTTGTCTGATCATTTATTAAATTTTGATAAAGCTCCTATCAAACAACGTGGGCCAGTTGATTATCCTTTATACCCTGAGAAGCTACTGCCCACGCTTATGGTGTCTAGAATGAAACATTCCCTCTCAGCTGCATAGACCCTCGATGGATGGCTGATTAGTGTGTGGAAGGTCTTGGGAAGTCTGCACTGTAGCAGGAAAAGTTAGAGGGAATGTAGTCTAGAACTGGGAATCACAATCTCAGGATAAGAGATATGAATTTTGTTGTGTTGTGTTATGTCTCATAGTCAGTATACCTTTAAGATATTCGCTCATGGCATCTCTAGATCATAACACTGGACCTGTGGGTATAGAGGTTGCATACTCCATCTCACCTCAGATTACTCAAGGCGAGACACTCCACGGAAAGCCTGTTGCTCTGTTTAAGCTACAGGAAGTCACTGGATTGTGAACAGGTTGCGTTCTGGAGTCCATTTGCAAGTCTATTTGTTTGCAAGTGCAGGACAACGTAAAGCAGCTGTTCGTATGTTGGGGTCTTTAAAATTTCACCCGTGTCCTTTTCCTTTATTCATTCACGGGATAAGGGCGTTGCTGGCTAAGCCAGCATTTATTGCCATTCCCTAATTGCCCAAAGGGCAGCTCAGAGTCAACCACATTGTCGTGGGTCTGGAGTCACATGTAGGCCAGACCAGGTAAGGATGGCAGTTTCCTTCCCTAAAAGGACATCAGTGAACCAGATGGGTTTTTTTCCCCCCCCAACAATCGGCAATGGATTCATGGTCATCATTAGACTCTTAATTCCAGATATTTATTGAATTCAAATTCCCCCATCTGCCGTGTTTGAATCCCACCACAGCAGATGGGGGAATTTGAATTCAATAAATAGGTCATTAACCTGGGTCTCTGGATTAACAATCCAGTGATAATACCACTAGGCCATTGCCTCCCCTTGTACGTATGGGATTACATTTGTAAGTATGAGCGTTCGATAGTTAGATGTTCGTAAATCAGAGACCCCTGTACTGCCTTAATATTAGTTCAGACAATTATGCACCTGAAGAATATTTTTTGTACTCAATAGTTAGTTATAATAAATGATAACTGGGCTCTTCAGTACAACAATATACAAACCCAGTTTCACTTTCATATTTAATCAGGGAATCTGGGCTTTGTTGGCTAGGACAGCATTTATTGCCCATTCCTAATTGCCCTAGAGAAGTTGGTGGTAAACTGCCTTCCTGAACCATCCATTAATTGTAGGTACACCCACAGTGCTATTAGGAAAAGAGCTCTGGGATTTGTCCCAGTGACACTGAGGGGGTTTCTCCCCTGTTTTCCACTGAATCTAACACAAACCAAGAAAATATTGGGGAAACACAGAAGGTCTGGTTGGGACAGTAACAGGGTTTCTGGTTTGAGTCCAATATGACTCTTCTTCTGAGTGCACGACGTCCAGGCCAGTCACTCTCACCCCTCGAGTTCAGCCTTTTTGTCCATTTTTGAACCAAAGCCACATCAAGGTCAAGAGCTGGGTGATGCTGGCAGAATACAAACTGAGCATCAGTGAGCAGAATTTGCTGAGAAGGTGCTGGTTGACAGCACCTTTAATCATTTTGCTGATGATCAAAAATAGGCTGACAGGGGGATAAATGGCCAGGTGGGATTTGTCCGATCTTTTGTCTACAGGGCATACATGGTCAATTTTCTACATTACCAGGTAGATGTTGCTGTTGCATGAATAGTTTTGCTTGGAACATGGCAAGTTCTGGAGCAAATGTGCTCATGACTATGACTGGAATATTGTCAGGGGCCACAGCCTTTGCATTTATCCAGTACCTTTAGTCATTCTTTATACTGTATAGGGTGAAATCAACTTGACTGAATACTGGCATCTCCATTTTTGGGTGCCTCTGAAGAAGCAGAGATGGCTTTTCCACTTAGTACATCTGATTGAAGATTACGGCAATGCATCATTAGCCTTATCGTTTGCACTGACGTGCTGGGCTCCTCCGTCATTCAGATGGGGATATTTGTGGTGCCATCTCCTCCAGTAAGTTGTTTAATTGTTCATCACTATTCATGACTGGATGTGGCAGGACTTCAGAGCCTCGATCTGATCCATCAGTTGTGAAAGCCTTAGTCTAGTCTATCACTTGCTGCTTATAAGAACGAGGAGCAGGAGTAGGCCGTCTGGCCCTTCGAGCCTGCTCCGCCATTCAATAAGATCATGGCTGATCCTTTCGTGGACTCAGATCCACTTACCCGTGTTCTCACCGTATCCCTACCGTATCCCTTAATTCCTTTATTGTTCAAAAAAGATCTACCTTTCTTTTTTAAAAACATTTACTGAAGTAGCGTCAACTACTTCACTGGGCAAGGAATTCCATAGATTAACAACCCTCTGGGTGAAGAAATTCCTTCTCAGTTCAATCCTAAATCTG